GGAATTCTGACGACCACAGAAAACAGTCAGATACAGGTGGTGTTTCACACTGGTGAGTGGCTCAGGTCCTATATCACAGACTCTACTGGAACCCACTCCTCACTAGCCAGACAGGCTTCTTGCAATTTGCTGCACATCTACAAGTCTCAGTTTTGTTATCTGCAAAATGGGAATAGTGGTGGGCACCCCAACACTGCTGATCCCAGCCAGGTACCAAGGCAGCTGTCTAGTTAAAGTGATTAATACAGGTGTGACTAATCAAATCAGAACACTTAACACGTGGCAATTCCCTGGCGGTCCAGTGGTTAGGACTCTGCACTTTCCTGCTGGGGCCCGGGTTTAAACCCTGCTTGGGGAACTGAGATCCCGCAAGCCGGCAAAAAAAACAAGCCCCTTGAGGCATCTAGGGGACGTTCGCATTCTTCCAACCGGTGGCATGAGTAGGAGGCATTCCGTAGTCACAGCCCATCTCTCCCTTCCCTCGGAAGAGGTGCTGCGGGGAGTCAAGCCTGACCCCTGCTTCTTACCTCAAGTAACTGGATCTCTGGAACAGAGGCATTTTCTAGGAAGACAAGTGGAGTCAAGGTAGAAGTCCCTTTGTGTAGTAAGTACAATAGCAGAAGCCTCAAATACAGGGCAGTGAGAGGAAACAGCCTTCTGTTCGCTTTGCAGTTTTCAGTGGCTTTATTGATCTGTTTGTTATCCGGGGCCTTTCTCCTCAGAGCCAAGCCGTGGATCCAGAGCAGTTCCCAAGTCAGGATTCCAACATCCTTCTGGAGCAGAAGGCCCCTGTGTTCCCACAGCAGTATGCATCTCAGGCACAAATGGCCCAAGGCAGCTACACTGCCATGCAGGATCCAAGCTTCCACACCATGGGGCAGCGGCCGAGCTACGCCACGCTCCGTGTGCAGCCCAGACCCGGCCTCAGGCCCACGGGCCTGGCGCAGACCCAGCCCAACCAGCTGAGGCTTCAGCTGCAGCATCGCCTCCAAGCACAGCAGGTGCGTTCCTGGCTGCGCCTGGAAAATCAGGGGGCGGGGCAGGGGCGGGGCACAGGGAAGGTGGACGTGAGCCCGGGGGTCCTTTAGGAGGCCTTAAAAGCTCCTCCTGTCCTTTCCAAGAGGGTGAAAGCGTTGCCACGTTACCTTACAACTTCCATACTCCTTTCTGCTTCACCTCCTTCCCCTCTTTCTCTCTTCTCCACTAACTCCACTCCAGCGTAGAGCAGCTCTTCGGTTTCCTAGCTCTATTATTTACTGAGGGGCTAACCTTGAGCTCTGAGCCTCAGTGTTTACATCTGTACAATGGGATCGCTGTACAGTCTTGGGCAGTACGTGTGTGTCTGTGGGGCCCGGCACAGTTTCTGGCCCAAAGGGAGCTCCCAGGACAACCGTAGCTCCTGCCATTCGTCCTATCTTGTGGCCAGAATCATCACTCTTAGTGGAGTGGTGGCATAGGGTGCTGCCTTATGGAATACCTATCTAGCTCAAGAAAGTGTGTTCTCACTGAAACAAGCCTGGACAGATTTTTCTCATGTAGTAAATAATCGTGTTGTGGGCTTTTAAATCGCCTCTCCTTTTTTTCCCCTCTGCTTTTTTCCTAATCTTCCCCTTGGCCTCCTTTGCTGATCATTCCACTCCCTTGCCCCCTTGCAAACAGTGTGTTTTCCAAACTGTCCAGAATACCTTCCCAGCTATAAGCAATGGGAAAGCTCAGTGATAACTAGCTTTACAAGGGGATCCAGGTACAAACCATGTGGTTTCAATGTCCAGCAGCAAGCAGATGTTGGGTTGGCGGGGAGAGGGGAAATTTCTTGAGGAAGGTGATTTGAAATAGAATATATTCTGATTAAAAATATATTGATTGCCATGTGTATGCATTTAGAATCGCCAGCCACTCATGAATCAGATCAGCAATGTTTCAAACGTGAACCTGACTCTGAGGCCTGGAGTACCCACACAGGTAAGGGGCAGACCAGCCGTCAGCTTTTACTGGATCCGCTTAACTTCTCTTGTCAATTCTTCCCCCTTGATATCCCACGTAAAGTAACTCAGAAGGCCATACATAGATCCAGATCCACACAGTGGATGTCGTGTCATTCGCTTATCTTGTCTGGTCTGTCACTTTTGTGGTTCTCTCCTCATCACTGCCATGTTTATTGCCAGGTACAGTCAATTATCGTTATTCATACTAGTTGTGTTCAGTAGAGTTACTGCAAACACTGAATTAGCGAATATTGAACTGTTGCTCCTAGGAGAAATAAAGGGTTCGTTTCCTTTGAGCCTCTCGGTCACATTTTCATGAATCAATGTGTGTTTCTGTTTGAAGACACCTTGTTTAATACAATACTGTTGATTCATTAACATTGAACTCACAGCCAACAGCACTGTAAGTCATGCCTGCATGAAGCTAATCGAACTCCCAGATTTTCCCCATAAGGCACATCGCAGCCCCCTGTGCTTTAGGACTCTAGGCAGCACTTCAGCACTTCTCAGGAGCCATTTTAAACAGCAGAGTCACCAACCAAAAGCACAACCATGTGAAAAACGTGGAACTAAATAGTCCACAAAAAGGACACTTGTGCGCAGTATGAGAGCTGAAACAAGAAGCAGTGCCGCCTGGTTTCAGCCTCAGGTGGGAATGGGCACGTTGGGCTTCTCACATTTTTTGCTGCTCTGCACGTGTCCATAAATCACAACAATGCCGTGAGTATTGGTTCTGGGGTGAACAAATAAATGTTAGCAGGTAGGCAAGCTCACCAGTGCAGAATCCATGAATAATGAGGTCGACTGTATACTGCCAGGACCCGTAACCAGCCTGGTACCACTTACTGACAGCAAGCACTGACAGTGCCCCTCCCATCCTGTCCTGGCCTCCCTAACACACCTGCCTCCGTTCAGCCTTTTCTGAAGTGCTTCAAAGCCACAGTGACTTGGTTTTGGCACAGTGACTTGGTTTCCCTTTAGACTTGAATGTCCCTTAATGAGACTCTAAACTGCCGTCCTCAGGGTTTCTGTACAGAGTCCTCTTACAGACAGGAATGGGGTTACCGTGGGCTCCCCTCGTTACCTGTGTCCTCTCACAGTGAGTCTCAAGTTTCTTGATACTAACATCAAACTTAACGCATGTCAGTCGTTGCAAGGTTTCAGAATCATCATCTCTACAGAATTCAGAAGCTCACATTCTCAGCCACCAGTTGGTCAGCTCTAAACTGTTCTCTTCTGTTTGCCAAATAATTTCGCACGAGACAGTACCCTTTGTTATCCTATTTCTAACATACGGGTTGTTTTTCGATCTGTCCCCACCCCCAATGTCTTCCTCCGCGTTTTGCCCCCCCCCC